TGGAGGGAGGGGCCTGCGTGTGTACATAGCGTGCTGGGGGGAGGGGCGTGGGGTGCATGCCTTGGGGACGGGGTGGGGGACAGGCAGCAGACTCCCTCAGCCGCGAGTGGAGGGCAGACAGGCGCGTGCGGCCACTCTGCCCCCGACAATCTAGAAGGTTCTCTTTGCCCTCAGTGCCAGCCAACCCGGGCAGGACCCTCGAAGAGGAGCCCGAGGGTCCCAGAGGACCAGTGCTATAAGCCAGCAAATGCTGCCACATCTCTGCCGGGTGGGGGGCGGGGGGGCGGGAGGGGCCTCGGCCGCGGGTCCGGGTGGGCGTTTTTAACTGGGGAGGCTGTCTCTGGGGAGGCCGCCTGCACTTTCTTACCGTCGATGTTTCCCGCCCAAAGGACAACTTGGGGTGTGGGGAGTGCTGCCCGCTCCTCGGGACCCCAGGATGAGCCTGCCACCCCATGACCTGCATCCTGTCGCCCTGTGTGCATCGACCCCCGCATCCCGGCCCCGCCACCGCCCCTCCCCCAGCTCATCCGCATCAGTCACGGTCTCTGTGATTTCTGTAAAAGTTGCCATAAAACAAGTTCTGCCTGGAACGCAGTCTGCCCGTGGGAAGGTGGAGTTCAGAAGAGCGGTGCATGAGGCCGCCGCGCAGCCGCACCAAGGGCCGCGCCGCTTCCGCCAGCTTCGCCTCCGTCCAGTCCGGAGCCCGCGCGAGCCGCGCCCCCGCCAACCGGCCAAGGAGGTGCACGAGCCACGAACGCGCAGCCCCAGGCCTCGACCAGGCCGCCGGGAGCTACCGGGCCCGCATTCACGGCTCCTCCGGGGCGTCCTGGGAGCGCTCGCTTGCTCCGGACAGCTCGGGTCGCTGGGGTTTCCTAAGCGAAGCGGGAACTTTGTCGGACTCAATGAGAGGCGGCGTGCGCGCCAGGGGAGGGGCGCGGCCTGGTCCCGTGCGGCCCTGGGAGAGGCGGGCGCTTTGCGGACCCTGCACGCGGATAGCAGCAGGAACGCAGCGTGGAGTGCGTGGGGGCCGGCGAGCCGCGAGAACTTGAAGCCACCAGTATCGGTCACGCCGAGGAGCCGAGAGAATTTATTCTGAGCGCGAAGGGAGGTTGGAGGGGATCTAAGTGGGGGAGGGGCGCAAAGGCTGCTGCCGGCCAGTGAATTTCCGCAAGAGGAGCCCAGGGAGAGCAGGGGCTGGGGGGGGGGGGTGGCGCGGACGACGGTGTTGGCCACTCAGGCCCCTGCGTGACCTGTGTGGGTCTCTGGCCACTGAACTTGAAAAGATCTATTTTTTCTCTTG